CTGCCAGACAGTCCACATTTTTGCTCCTTCCCAGCTCACTGCCAGACAGTCCACATTTTTGCTCTCGGCCTGCTTGGTGCACTGTCTGCGGGTCCCTGAAGACTGGTCTGAGAAAGACTGGCATAGATGGTATGCCTTACATAGGAATGGCCCCCTTGCTTGGAGCCAAAGGCGCGACGCTCTCACAGAGGGCCTGCTTCACTCCTCACAGTTTCCTCTTTTCAGAATGGAATTTCGTTGCCAGTATATGAACAGGAAGGGAAACGCAAACATTTCACAACACACACAGAGAGGTGTTCTTCACAGGACTGTTACTGTGGCTCCAGGAAAACATTCTATTAACTCTGAGGGGATGAAGAGCTTTTAAGGGTGTAAAAGGGAAAATTTTATGCTCATCAGCAAAAGTTAGGGAATCATGTCCACAAGTAGGCCATGCACTGCAGGCCTGTCTGCCTTTATGTTTTATTAAAAGGTTTTTGAATGTTTTTTTTTAACGCTTGTCGTGTTTGGTTTCTGTGACCGTCACCTGTGGAAGGCCCTGCGCTGGTGCTTATTGTCACCATCTCTGATCAGCCCATTCTGTGTCGGAGCCTTGGGGTGGCACTGCAGAGTGACGTTGATGCTGAGAACGATAAGGGTTCGATTTTTGTTTTTCTCAACTCTTGTCACCACATCCTGACAGAAAAAGGGAGGGAGGGAGGAAGGAAGAGAGCAAAAGAAAAGAAAACTGGCGGGGAAGTATGCCAGACATCTGCTCTCGGGGCACCTCAGTCTCACAGAGGATAGGGGGCGGCAATGCCTGCACTGGTGTGACATTAAATGCCGAGGGGGTTGGGCTCTGATTGGTCGGCATATAAGAGGTAAATGTGTGCCTCAGGGCTTGTGTTCTCAGACTTTCCTTGTTTGCTCTTCACTTCCTTTCATGGTCTTGTTCTACTACCGTGGTTTCCTGTATTGCAGATGACTGCTGAGGTCTGAAAAATCATCTAACGTCAGTTATGAAAGCACCTAGAAACCTCATGCTCTGCCCAAACGCCAGCTATAGGCATTATATGTAGTGATGTTTGTTTCGAAATGCTATTGTTGTGGTGACTTTCGTTTCAGTGCCGTTTCCCGAGACGCTGACTTTTGTTAATGTCTCACCAACAGCGAAATGAGCCTCCTGACATGGTCTTGCTGCAAGCAGCCCAGTCTATTGCAGGGAGCAGTGCTATGCAGATACGTAATTATGCTAATTCACTGGGGTAAAACTCTGTCACCGCACAAGATTTTCTTTCAAAGGTTAGTGTTCCGCAGGAATGGGGGCTCATCATGCTTTAGAAATGATCAAACCACTACTTCATCTTTTATGGTTTTTGAGTGAAATTTTTTCATTCATATTGCCGGTCAGATATTACTCATTTGCATTGCAATATTGATACATGTGCTCTATATATGTGATTGTGGGAACTTGAACTCGTAGAGATACTGTCACTCTGGCAGATCAGCCGTCCATGGGAAGCCGCTGAAGGACCTGGCATCAGGTGACCCATGTGCTTCCACCGCACCTGCATTCGCCACCCTGAATGTACTCATTTACGGCGGAGATTATTCTGTTTCATGGCAGAATCATCTTCTCATACAGCTAGGCTGGTTACTATATATCGGTCCTCTGGGAGAGGGGGGAGGGGGGGTGCTTGGGTGGTATGATACAAGGTCATCTGGGATTCATAGCAGGGAGAGATGGGGGGCAGGGGGGTTCAGGGTGAGGGGAAATGGAGGGGAAAAAGAACAAGATTGAGAGAACAAGACGGTATATTCATGTCCAGGCACATATTTATAGTAAGCCTGCAAGGAGTGGAGCGAGTGAGCATGTGTGAGAGAGAGAGAGAGAGAGGGGGAGGGAGGGAGGTGATGGGGGCGTGGTCTGCATTATGACACTCAGAATGAGGAGAGTGTGACAGAGAGAGGAGCCTGTGTCTCAGTGCATGAGGGAGGGAGAGAGAGGGAGGGAGAGAGAGAGGCTGTTTTTGAATGTGCGTCTTCAGAGAGGCAGAGTGTGAGGGAGAGACGCTGTTGAATATATCAGAGAGAGTGAGGCTGGGGAATCGAACCACTTCCATGAAATCCGTGTGACTGAAACACAGTGTGCTCTGTGTGTGAGAGGGAGGGAGAGGGGGAGAGAGGGAGAGAGGCGAGAGGAGAGGAGCAGAGGAGGGCAGAGAATGAGGTAAGGCTCGCTTGTCCATCATTTATATGGCTAAATGTGATGTGGGGGTGTTTTCTCAGTGCAGTCACATGCAGAAATTTCCCGAGCGCGTCCCTGTTCCTGTGGTGCCTTCGCAGGTGTAAATAGTGAGCTGGTCTGTGCTGTGAGGACAGCTCCTGCGTACACGCACGGCGTGTCCATGCCGGCTGCACGGGGATTTACGGACGTGGTGCCTGTCGGTGGTGGGGCGGGCGGGCAGGCAGGCAGGCAGGCAGGCAGCACTACCCTATATCATTGCTCCTCATTCCCCTTCCACGCACTCGTCCTCTTTGTACATCGTAACCTCTCTCGCTCTCTCGCTCTCTCTCCCCCTGCGCCTCTCTGCGTGAATCCGGCTTGTGATGTACCGGCGAGTGAAGCGGTGCGCAGTAAAGAACGAGTGACAGGCGGCCACACCATTCCTCCTTCCTGCTCTCCATGACGAACGGGGAGGAGGGGAGAGACAACCCCCCTGTGCAGATTTACTACGGGGGGGGGGGGGGTGTCCAGGGTCTCATTGAAAATATGCCAGGTCAGACTCTTCATCTGACACAAGGGCCCTGCTTGCAGCCACCTCGGCGTGCAGTGGATTTGTGTCGCTGCCCGTTGCTCGCTCTCCCACTCTCTCTCTCTCTCTTACTCTCTCTCACTCTCTCTCTCTCTCTCTCTCTCTCTATCTGTACTGCTTACCCATAATGGTTTGGTATGATTGATTTCCTGACGACGGTTAGAATATACCACAAAACACTGACACACAAACACCAAAGAGCAACAGAGAAAGTCTCTGCGGAGCTGGTCGTGCAGATAGTTGGGAGAGTTTCTGTGGCAGAGGGTAAAGGTCACAGCGGGGTGGTGGGGTGTTGGGCGGGGGGGGCGTCAAAGTGAGACGAAGGTGTCCATTGCGTAAAAAAGGAAGGGATGACAACAGCGTCCATAAGAGCCGCGATGGGAGGAAATTAAAAAAAGAAAACAGCGCCACGTCCGTGTTTTGCAGGATGAGAAAGCGCAAGGTGGCAGGGGATTCTGCTCCGGGCGAAATGAGGAAGTCGGCGCTGGCAGAGCGAAAGCCACGCACCGAGTGATCAGATAACGGGCCTCCAGATACAGCCACGCTCGCCGCCAGCTGTTCGCCACTCTCGCGTAATCAACCGTGCCCATCTGATCCGCGTGCCCCTTGGGTACAACACATTTGTGCCACTTTCGGCAGGTGTGAATGCTGCCACGGTCTGGCACGTACGTCCCGAAATCGTTGGCGTGTGCATGACACGCGACAATTCTGTGAAAATTCCGCCCACAGGTTCTTCCCCGTCGTGGAGTCCCACCTGCCTTCACCGGACATAACTCTTCTCGCTGGAGTCAGCCAGTCGCTGATGGGTGTGCTTGGTGTCGATGGTTAGGATGGGCGTCTTGGGCCTTCTAGAAGTTTTACGGATCTGAGACGTGGCATGACTTGTGACCGAGGCAAGGCCAGGATTTAAACCTCATCCCGCAAGCCGATTCAGAAGCCGCGTCTCGGATTGAAAGCTGGCCGTCATAGCAGGTGCCCAAAACAGGCCTCGGAAGCTACTGGCGTCGGACATTTTCTCCCTCCGAATGGGGGAGGAGGGGGCCGAAAAGCAACAGCATATTCTTGCAGCCGTGCATGCAGGCTGATGTCTAGACTAATTTAATAAACTCGGTGTGTGTGCATAACTCCCGTTAATTTCGCTCTTATGCTCGGTTAGGATGCCACTGTTATTTTCACTAGCATGGCCTTTCGTAGGATGAAAGCCGCGTTCGCCGCCACATCGAACACCAAAAAGTTTTCCGCCGTTGAAGAACAATCATGTAGAATTTGTTGGCCTGCTGGTTCTGCTGGCCAGTGACTAGCTTTCATTATTTCCCTTTATTTTTCGCGTTGCCAGGTCTACCAAATTGTATAGGTTTTGTTGTTTCTTTTTTCGGAAAGACGCATGCCCCTCGTGTACACCCCCGGGGTGGGATTTCTGCATGCCCAGTATTACTCTGCATGCCAGGTCACAGGAGTTTGCCGCAGCTGTTTGCCCTCGAATCAACGGCAGATGCCCGAACCGTTGCAGGCGAGCGGAAGCCTGCAGCCACACGTTCTGCCTGTAGGCGGGTGTTGCTTAATATGGTGTAACTGTGTTTTCGGGGTGGGGGGGGGCATTGATTGCTGGGATCTTCGATTACGTTGATACAGTCGTCTCACCCACTTTTCTGCCTCTCTCTGTCTTGCAGGCACAGACAGTCAGCTTCTCTTAGGGACACAGAAGACAGAGACAGGCACCCAGCTCCAGTGGAAGTGGAATCGGCGGACTTTTCCATGCCGCCATTCTTCTCGATTCGACTAATAATCAGACGCTTCGGTTAGATATTAGAGCGGCCATTTTCAAGCTTCCATGAATGTCCCTTAGCAGCTTCAAAGGGAAGCACATCTCACCAATTACGACTCGAAGCAGGTACTAGTATATGAACTGCATGTCACACAGAGAGCTATTCACACACCGCACAGCTCGCTCAGCTGCAGGAACCAGCCAGTATTTTTACACCCAGACAAACTGCCTAGTCACAAGTAGCAAGAACCAGTTTCCATCTCACTCACTCCCTGACACACACACACACACAATCACTCACTCACACACACACACTCAAACTCGCATGTACACGCATGCGTGCCAAAAACACTGGAACTCATAACAGAAACGGCTTTTGCAGGTTATTAGGTTGCAAGGATCAGCAGCAGTAACTCAGGCAGGCTGCAGAGCGCCGTCTGCTGTAAAAAGGGATTCTGTTAGCGCCGGACTTTGCCCCCCCAGTGGTGGGACGATGACATCGCACGGCAAGCTGAGGAAGGAGAGGGGCAGTCTGGCCGAGTATGAGACCCAGATCAAAGGTAGGAGTGTTTGCACCTTTTTCTTCCTCTTGACACTCTCTCTACCTTCGTCTCGCACCTGCCACGGCCTTTCACCCCGAGCAGGGACCCGTGCACGTTTGTTAGAATACAGGCGGGGTGAGGGAGTGGGGGTGTGCACTCCTGTTTGTCTGTGTGTGTGTGTGTGTGTGTATGTGTGTATTTATAGAAAGTATTAGGGAGGCTGTCTCCTCTGGTCTGAGTCAGCCTTCAGCCCCAGAGCCAAATGCACCCATTGGGGGGGGGAGATGGGGGCGGCCTGCACTTTCACTCCCCATGTCCAAAAACATCGCCGATTAGTGACGGCCACAATGTGTCTCTGTCGCTCTTGTCCCTTCGCCGTCAAACTGCTTCATGCCCCAGCCGCCCGCCATTATAGACGCCCCCCCCCCCCCCCCCCGTGGATTGCTGCGAGACCCGGCGGTCCAGACGGGTCTCCGTTGATGCGTCAGTTCTCCGAGGCACGGCGGAGATCCCCCCCCATCGTTAACGACACCTTTCAGAAAAGTAGCCGCTGTTACCTTATCAGACGAGTGCTGTGTGAAAACGCCCTTGTGTGGAAACGCAAATTGGCTCCAGATCAGGTTCTGATGCCAACAACCATCCCTCAGCCTGGGGCTGGGTGCTATATTGACTTTTTACTTGGCTCATTTTGTTTGCAAAATTTGCCCGATAGTTCAGAGGATAGGTATATCGTGATTTGCTGTATTTGTTCTTTTTTTTGCAATATTTGTTTTTATTGAAGGCTAATACTTTCAGTACTTGTCAGGCATCTGTGACTTTGACTTACAACTGAACATTTATCCCACTTGATAGGAAATACCGACATATATATCGTGAATCACTACTCTGCCTAAAAATACCCTTGAGATATGGCTTTACTCCACATTGCCCAGTCCTACGGCAGCCCCTTCCTCCAGGGGGGGTTTCTCTGCTCCTGTTGCCCCGGTTACATTGCTGGGGGTGTGGGCTGAGGTTCTCCCTTGTGCGTGGGGTCTACCTGCCCAGGCTTCTCTTCCATCTGTTTGTCTTGCAAATCAGTCGCTTCCTTCAGACCCAACTCGGAGCTGAAAGCTGTTCTGTCGCAGCGTCGGCTTCCTGTCGCCGCGCCTGATCGCAGTCCTCGCCTCTTTGTCTCTTTGTTAACCATCAGTCGTTTCCTGTCTCTTCTTAGACCGCCGTCACTTTTTCCGAGTCGCGCTGTGTAGGGAGACCGTGTCGTCAAGGCAATCAGGACTAAATCGAATTGGACTCATTGATTGGTTGACGTGATCAGAGGGACTTTAACCCCCCACAAAATGGCTATGATCCAGCTGAGGGTGTACAGCTGCTCTGCCTCTTAACCCCCACCCCCCCAGAGTTCGCTTGTAGCGAAACAGCACCCCCCCCCCCTCCCTCCGCATGCCAGCATCCGGACTTCATTTGCATCACACTTGGCATGGGCTGCCGCCGTCTGACGGGCGACACGTGCCGAGGCGGGGGCCGCATGCCTTTGTGCTGCCGATAAACCCCTCCCACCTCGGCCCACTGCATCGATCCGTTTCCGACTCCCAGTACACACAGCCACCCCTTACCCCTGTCTTAGAGGTGCGCAGCCAGCTGTCAGAGCAGCTGAAGGTCCTGGAGGCGCAGGTGGAGCAGAAGACGCAGCTGCTGCAGGACCTGAGCGACTATCTGCGCAGGCGTGGCGAGATCGAGGGGGAGTACGCGCGCTCGCTGGAGAAGCTGACCGAGAGGTTCACCGCCAAGATCAAGAGGTAACAGTGCGAGGCTATTTATTATTAACGTCGGGGCCAAATCCCAGTCATCAGCAGGGTCGGGGGGGTGCTGATGATTGGTCATAAGTCATACAGGGGTGGGGGTTGGCGATAGGTCGTTATTCATACAGAGGAGCCAACCTTCTCATTGGCCAATGTTATGTTTAGAATCGGTCAGTGACAGGGGATGGAGCAGTTCTGGCGAATCAGCTTTCACTTTGGGCCCCTGTGGCCCCGCCCCTGTATACACCCCTGGCAAGGTTGCATTTATCAAGCCGTAAGTGATTAAATGACCTTTAGCTAAATTCGTAGCTCCAAATTTTGGGCCCTTGTCAACCTCTCTGACGCTATTCTGCTACCATTACTAGCTCAGCACACGAAATCATTGCACCTTTCACATATAATGTTTTTTTGGCCAAAATTTTGCCAAGGGACATCTTTTGAGTGCTGTCCAGGTCAGAGGCCTCACTCGACTGCACGGTTACGTCACGTTTAGGAAAATAATCGATCATTCTGATCGCGAGGAATGGGGAAAACGGAATGCATGTATTTTCACCGCAGTGAAAATGCCCCCCCGTTGTAAAGTGGGCTGGCAAGGCTGTCGGCCTCTCGCTCGGCCGTGATGAGCAAGGCCTGTCGGGATTAGCGCCCGCCGCGAGCGGCCAGCAGTTTGGATGCGTGTCCCGGCCAAGCCCCCGGTGGGGGTGGTACACCCTGAGCAGAGCCGCGCTACATTGGGTCACGGCGATGGCTTGCGGTGGGCGCATGGCCGAATCGTAGCCCGTTTGGGCCTGAGAATAACCAGTGCTGTTAGCCATAGAAAAGGCGCTTGACTGGGATGATAATAATAATAATAATAATAATAATAATGCTGTTAATGATGACAGCAACAACTAATAATAATAATAATGATGATGATGATTATTATTATCATTATTATTATAGGTATTCAGGCACATGCATGGTCAAAGTGTGATAATCGTCAGTTCAGTTCTGTCATTTGCAGAAACGCGATCGTAATCACATGGTGTTGTCTGGGAAAACGCTGTCTTTGGTGTCACATGACGAAGGTCTCCCCCCTCCGCCTCGGCAGGAAGGAGCAGAACGAGCAGTCCGTCGGCCAGTGCTGGTCGGTGCTCCTGACCCAGACCCGGCAGGAGAGCAAGGACCACGGGGCCATGGGCGAGTACTACAGCAACACCCTGACCCAGCGGCTCTCGCACTGCTTGGAGGACACCCAGCGGCTCGCCAAGCGGGTACTGCCCTCTGCCTTCACTCAATAATACTCTGAACGGGGGCGGGGGGAGGCAGAAGTGGGCCGTCATTCATACAGATGGACCAGCCTTATCATTGGCCAATGATATGTTTTGAATCAGTGAGTGATGGGCAGGAGGCCCTACGGAGGCCAGTCAGCTTTCAGCTGGGACTGACTCCCTTTTGGCCCCGCCCTCTGAAGGCTGCCTGCCTATATGCTTTTTGGGGTGATACGGGTCCCGTTCTCTCGCACTAGCTTCAATACATGATTCATGTAGCCTTCCTTTGCTGTCTGTAATGTGGGTTTGGGGTGTGCTGGACCCCTCCAGCTTATCTCTGGCTCCATTTTGGCTCTTTCCTAGTCTCTCCTCTCTTGGAAAATCCAGAATTATAACTGGCAGGAAATTGCCGAAATTTAATTATATATTGGCACCAGACTTTCGGTCCATGAATCATACTACTTGTGCTTGATTTCGTATTTTACTCTGCCCGATCAAATAATTTCTGGCGAATCAGCCGTGGATACTCATGTTTCATTGGTTTAAGTAAAATCCTCTGCCTAGCAACAATGAAGCTGAATGGTGCTTCCTGCTAATGGCGTTGGCTTCAGCCAGACGCTACATTGGCCTGCCTTAATAACATGATTTCTCCCTGTTCCAGGGTCTGCAGTATTTACAGGCCTGAGATGGCATTCTCTCATATGACTGTCCCGGTCTACTCCTAACGACTCTTCTCCTCTTTTCTTCCCTCAAGAGTAAAGAGGTTGGTCTTCAGGTGCAGGACGAGCTCCTGAAGGTCACCACGGAGCTGCAGACGGTGAGTCCACAGTCTGCGTAGTGATACGACCATCCCAGTCACCTGAAGCGTCGTCTCCTGGCCTTCAGAGGCGAGCTTCCTGCCTTGAAATCGGGCCGGGGTCTCTGAGGATAATGAAGCCATAGTGAGGTCACAGGCAGACCATAGTCACGGTTGTCACGGTGACTTCTGCTCCTCTGCTTATAGCTTAGTCTGTTTCTTTATTTACTCTTTAACTAGAATAACCTCTTAGTCACATAGTGATTGAGGTAAAATAGAAAAAATCAAGGTGGGGGCTGAGAGAGAAGCCTTAAAGTGTGATATTTCTACACTGGGCTGTTTAAAGAGGTAAAATTCAACGTTAGGACTGACGTGAAAAGGTGATAAATAGATTAACTGTCCTCCTGAAAGAGAAACAACAGCAGGGCGATGTTTTAAGGGAAAGGTTGGGGAGTCAGTCCCCCCAGCCTCCTTTAGCAAGGTTGTCCGCACCTGTGGCCAGGTGCAGAGCGTGCCTCTGTCCCCGCGTGACACTGTGCGGTCACATGGTCTCGGCCCAGCGCTGTGGGGCACCGGGATGGCGTGTCCTGTGTCACCTGCTGTGTGTCCTCTCCTGACCCCTCCCCCCCATGCCGCAGCCTGCTCACCGCCAGCCAATCGACTTGCACCGTGCCCGTCTCTGTGCTCCAAGCTGCTCTTCCGTATTTACAGCATGTTTGGAGGGGGGGGCACATTGTGAGCTCATCCATTGCTCAGGATTCCCCAGGACTTCTCCTGGGGGCCATATGGGGAGGGGTGGGGCTGGGGTAGGGCCCTCTGGACCTATTTTGATTTACGGCTAAGGGGGGGGGGGGGGGTGTCTCTCATTTCCCAGGGTGGTAAGAATATACTTCATTAGAGGGCTGAGACAGACCTTCCACATCGTGCATTCTGTCACCCTGTGGCCATGTTGCCCTTGAAGTCCCTGAGCTGAGTGACAGCTGCCTTGCCTTCCTAGTCCGCTGGCTATTTCGCATTTATTTCTTTAGCAAGTCCTTTTGTCCAAAGTGACGTGCAAGCGAGGCGGCAGAAAAGAACAGCTGTCGTGGAGCTAACTTGGGCGTGAGAGCGGCTAGCCTGAGCTTCCAGTGAGTGACCAGTGACATGTGCGTGTTAGCAGAGGAATATGAAACATTATTAGAACCTTACCCCCGCGACGCTGGTCACGTCAGCACACCACGGGGGCTGCTGTTTCCTACTAGTGCAAAGTACAAGAAAATAGTATCCGATGTTGCTAAGAGACCGTAACCGAGGGATAATCAATGAAGACAACAGAAATTTTAGCAACAGAAACCCCCTTGTTTGCCAGATATTTGTTCTATGGCTAGAATACTGCAAAAATCAGAGAACCTTTTTAAATAAATGCAAATGGTTGAAATAGTTTATTTTTATTTTCATGGCTTTATCGATTTTATATTGTATGTGTTCTGCATTCTGTCATGTTCTTATGAACTGCAGACTTTGAAGACCTATCACCAGTACCATACAGACTGCCTTGCAGCAGAGGGAAAGCTTAAAGAGGTCGCTCGATTGGAGGAAAGACAGACTGGCAAATCAGCTGACCTAGGACTGGGCCAATCGGGGGGCCAGAGGCGGAGCTCTGTGAAAAAAATGGAAAGACTACTGGAAAAGGTAAGACATTATCAGTACTTTTTTTTGCTTTTAATACACAATGTCAAAACCATAATTATTCTCATTCTGATTTGCTGCTTTACACGGGAGCAATCTTTTTTTTTTTTTAGCTAGTTTTATACATTCATGTACAATAATGTTTTTTCAGTTGACTATAGGGTAAAGCTTAGTGTGTGTGTATTTGTGCGTGTGTGGGTTATGTATATATTTCATTTTGGGGATCAAATGTAATAAAAACCTGATATTTTTACCTTATGGGGACTATATTTTGGTGCCCCCACAAGGAAGGAATTCAATTCAATTCAATGTTCCCCACAATGTAATAAAAACGTGCTATTTTGACCATTTTTAGCTCCCCACAAAGATCAAAAAACTAAAAGTGTCAAACCTCTTGTATTTTGCTTGGTTACTTAAGGTTAAGGTTAGGGCTGGGTAAGGGTTAAGGTTGCCATTGTTGAGATTACAGTTCTTCCCATAGAAATGAATGGACGGTCCCCACTAAGATATGCATGCTAACGTGTGTGTGTGTGCGCCTGCACGTGTGCTCTGTGCAGAGACAAGGGAAGGTGCAGGAGACGCAACTGAAATGCACTAAAGCCCGCAATGACTACCTTCTGAACCTGGCTGCGTCCAATGCCTCCATGAACAAGTATTATCTGGAGGACATCTGTACCATTATTGACGTGAGTGTTCATCTCTGTGGCCTCTGTCACTCGCGCCGTGATGTTTAATCGATGGCTGCCAGCCGTCTCTGATTTCACACTCTAGCTTTCGGCCGCGTGCACAAACAAAACTCATCTCCGCAGGCCCGGCGTCAAGTCGAAGTTCGGCTTTTGACGCGAACCTTCTTCACGCGTTTGCTGAGACCGACCGTGTGTGTTAAAATCTGTCCATCTGTGTGTATTTCGGCTAAATGGTCCCTGAATCACGCGAGAGTTCTTTTACACGAGTGCTTCTCAGCTACTTCAGCCTAGAACACAGTGCGTTAATAATGCGTTAACAGTAACACGATGCCTCCATGGAGGTAAAAAGTCCCACATGTTTTTTTTTAACCACACACCCCGCAACCCAGTGGAAATGGTCTTGTGACCCACTTTTCTGGCCACTATTAGTTGAGAGACAGCACTTGAAATGTCATATCTCACGCTCGGTTCACGATGCGTCTCTCCCTCATTCCGAGCTCCGTGGCGCCCCCTAATGCAAGAGTGGCGTTCTCACATGGTGTCCTCTTCCAGTGCACTGACCTGGGCTACCACCTCTCGCTGTCTCGGGTGTTGCGTGGCTTCCTGACCAGCCGGTACCGAGCCCAGCAGAACCTGAAGACGGGACTGCAGCAATTGGATGCGGCGGTGACGGCCCTGAACCAGGCCCAGGACAGGGACGCCCTCCTGCAAGCTCACAACACCACCTTCTGCCTGCCCTTCCGCTTCCAGTTCCAGCCACACGAGGGGGACCAGGTATTCGCCGGCTCCCTAAATACGCGTCACAAGCCCTGAATGATTTGTTTAGCCATTTTAACAACTGTGGTGTCAGTTTGAGAATCGCATCCATCACAGCAATTCTAGTCTGGGGCGATGCTTCCCAAAACCTTTGTATTGCTACAATCATCATAACATGAGTGGGAGAGGATTCAATACGATGATCTCTGTACCAAGTGAGGATAATAAGAATACTACTGCATTTTATTTGTAATTCACATTTCTCACACACGATGCCAGACAGCAAAATAAAAACTTAAAACAAAATGAGTAAAATAGCCATAAGATTAAGTGGGCAGTGAAACAGTACAGAAACCAGCAAAAGAATAAAATAGAGGCTAGAGGCAACAGGAAGAAAAATTGTATAAGTAAATCCATCCATTTTCCTTAACCGCTTGTCCTATTCAAGGTCGCGGGGGGTCTGGAGTCAGTCCCGGAGGCTGCAGGCGCAAGGCTGGGAATAACCCAGGATGGGGCGCCAACCAATCGCAGGGCACACGCACACACCATACACACACACACACACGCACACACCATACACACACACACACACACGCACACACCATACACACACACACGCACACACCATACACACACACACACACGCACACCTGTATAAGCAAATAATTAGAAAAAATGAATAATAATAATAGTAAAATAAATTAATACAATGAAGTGGAAACATCGGCATTATGATGATCGTAGTGCTATAAACTGGCAGGTTATGGGTTGGGGGATCGGACCCTCGGCTCTGTTTTAAGCCCTTGGTGTCATAAGCCCCCAGCAGAGCCCCCGTGTTTCTCTTTTGCCTGCTCCTGCCCTCAAACTCTGCCCCGGCATCACCCATTTCTGACCTTCGATGTTGCGGAGGGATTAATCGGCAGGGCTACCTTGGCTTCCTGCTAAAGAGAGCCTCCATTGTTTGTGGGGAGGGCGTCCTCAGCGTTTGACGGCTGCGTGGGCACGGCCCGCCATGAGCAGGAGATCTCTTTGCCCGTCTCAGGTGTGTGAGGTGAGCGCAGAGTGCCAGGTTCGCTACGAGCTAGATACCCGCTTTCAGCAGCTACAGTCCCGGCTCACGTCCATCACCCTGGAGACCGAAGAGGTAAGTGTGGCCGGGCAACCAAACCAGAACTGTGGTTATTTAATTTTTTTTTAGCTTATTATAGAACCGTGCATGAGATGTCAGCTAGATATAACAGCTTTAACAGAGGTATTATTATAAACCACAAAGTGCAGAATATGTAAGTATTTATAGTTTAATACCCTCAAACAATGCTATTTTTATTTAAGTTTCACTTACGTACATAATTCTTCATATGTCATCAAGTGTTAAGAAATATGAAATTTGGCGCTGGTCAAAAAATTTGCCGTAAATTGAAAAGTTGGGCACACCTCAGAAAAATTGATTTTGAGGATTTTACAAAGACCTGACAGATATTCAGCAAGGTGACACGACTTACTGCTAAGGTGCAGCGCTTCACTTCGATATGATTGTGGCACGCGGTAGTGGGAGTGAGCAGCACAATCACGTCACCTTCTCACGGCTCATTATACACGGTGTACTGGAACTGAATCTCACATCTCAGCAAAAATCTCCATGACCAGGAAATATTATCACAGAGACCAGCTTTCCTCTTAATCCTTCCTCCCTAAGGTTAGCAAAACCCTGCGGGCAACGCAGACCTCACTTCTAGACAGCATCTGCGACGACGACTGCAACCTTTCGCTTGACCCTTCGGCCTCCCAGCCACAAGAGGTCGCCGGTGATGGACCTGGGACCAAGCTCAGTTTGGCCAAGCGCCGGGCCAATCAGCAGGAGACCGAGATCTTCTATTTCACGGTGAGCACTTCCTTATATTTGGATGGCAATAAGGGGCTTTGGGTATAGTGGGGAAACCTCCTAGCCAGATAGTAATTATGTTACTAACTGCTCTTTCAGAAAGTAAAAGACTATCTCAGTGGCAGCTCCCTGATGTCCAAACTTCAGGCCAAACACGACTTGCTTAAGGAAGCCACTCAGAAAGGTACAGTCACTCAGTTCCAGCAACAAATACGAGCCCTTATGGATTCTCGCAACTGCAGTGATTGCTATCTCATTTCTTCAGCTGACTGAGTATTTCTATCTTGTTTTCTCTCTTTCCTGTCCTCCCGGCCTGGTGTCCAGCTGAAGCAATCGACAGGGACCCCTCCAGGTACATTGCGGTGTGGCTAAGCTCGCTCCTAGTGTTTCGCTCCTTTGAGTCGAGTTCAGTCCTAGTGAGATGCAACTGTGATGCTTGTATTTACAAAGCACAATTTTTTGACCCTGAGCGCTCGGGCAGCGGGTGGAATTTACCTGACCCACGGCCAAGAACGTGGTACAGGCTGTAGGTCCAAGATGGGCCTCGCTAAACTTTATCTCCTGTGTTTTATATTAAGTGGGATCACAGAGACTTGAGTAAGGTACTAGAATGATAAAACACATCACAAAAAGACTAAAAAAGTAAAAACAAAGATGCAATTATCTCTCCCAAACCAACCCAGCTTCAATTTTCTGTATTATTCATTCCTTAGAATTTTTTTTTTTTGCCATTTGGGTATCTAATAGCTTTTTGTAACCTGTACAGTTATTTATTCTAGCATGTGATGCCAGTGCATAACAGTAGGTTATTTCCTACTTTCCGCAAGCTGCGTTTTTGACACTGTATCCAAACCAGGAAGCTTCTGCCAAAGGAGTAGGTTTGGTTTCAGCCCTGGTGGGGACCAAATCACTCCTGAACCCCCCACCCCCCTAAGCAGACACAGTACCCCCACAGTATCAGTAGGGACATGGCCCTACGGTCCATACCAATGTCTCTGCCCATGGTTTCTGTGTGAAATAGATACACTGCAAGTGATCGTGTAGCACCGCCTATAGATTCCATTCAGTCTGCTATAGTGGCTTTAACATCCTCCATTAAAACTTGCTGTGTTCCTTTATGCTGTGGTTAAAATGAAGAGCAGGGTGTGCAGGTGGCAGTCCAGCGTGTGCCCGTGTGCGTGTGTGTTGGCGTGGCTGGGCCAGTGTCACAGAGCAGTACCCATGTGTATCTCCAGAGGGCACTCCAGTAGGTCAGTGCGTGCGCGGAAGGCTCGACCCTGCTCCCAGTACAACCACAAACTCTTCACGGGAGAGATACTGTCCTTCATCCAGGTACCCGCCCCCCCGGCCTGCGTTCCTGACGTCCTGCTGTCCCATCTCTCCGCAACATTCTTGCTCTTACTGCTCTGTGCTTCATACTGTCCTGTCAAGGTTGACTGTCCCTTTCGCCCTCTCAGAGGACACTCAAATCGACCCCCACCCATCTCACCTCGCCAAGGCCGGTTGGGGGCAAATGAGGGGAAGGATTGTCCCGTATCCCACTTTCTGAAAGTCAGAAACGACGATAAGTCCTCAGCTGTAACCAATAGGTTAGAGAGAAGCTGTTTTCCACAAGTTTCTGGAAAAGAAGATGTACGGGTCACCCCGTATGCTAACACCAGCCCAAGGTGTGTTGCCCTTGCTGGGGATAGGGTTAGGTTTAGGGTTAGGTTTAGGGTTAGCGTTAAAAGGGAAACAGATCTTTAGTTCCACGCGGAAGTCTTCGTGAGAAAAGCCAGCTGATATGGGACATTAGCCATGGACACAGGATCCCTGAAGAACAGAGAAGGTTAGTCTGGGTGATTACCTCACTTTTAGCACTGATCACAGAAGAGGCTACAACGGAAAGCTTATCGTGGGCGAGTTTAAATCCCCCCAAAAAAAGAAAAAAGACACAGAAGGTAGTTGTGGTTTGGAAGCAGCTTCTGGCAGTAAAATGAAGGAAGAATCCTTGGATCCAATTCAGTACCAGATGAAACATCGCTAATGTTTAGATATTTCATTACCAGACGAGCAAGAGGAGATGAATATTTGCAATGCTTATGTCATTAAAGCGATACCATCCATTCCGCTGTCGGGATCGATGATGATACTGCATTTATTTATTTAGCAGTCGCTTTTATCCGAGCGACATCCAATTGTGAAAGCGGGGTCAGCTGATTTCTGGAGTGATTGGGGTTAAGGGCCTTGCTCAAGGCCCCCTGTGGTGAAATTACTCTCCTGACCCTGGGATTTCATCCCAAGATTTTCTGATCACAGGCATCTGCTGACCACACTGCCCCCAATATCATGTGTCGATTATGATCTGGCCAAACGTGGTCAGCCCACACTGGTTGCTGCATTATGGCTCTGGCAGCCCGCTGGGGCAGAGTGCTGAAAAATGGCTTTGGGGTGGGGGGGCTTACCGATCATGCTGATTCCCTCCGGGATGGGGACTTGTACGTTTTCCTCTCCCTAAGTCACGGTGCCCTGCCCAGCTGACAAACCCTGCCCACGCCTGATAGGAAGCAGGCATGGAGCTCGTGAAACAGCTTCCCATCCCATAAACAAAAATGACCTGGCTAACAAGTACCACCTGGCCACTGCAGCTAGGTGGCAGTGTGGAGCTGGTGTCCTGGTTGGCTTTATGCGCAGGGTCCCAGCTGCGAGGGTGTGATGTCACGTGGCGTGTCCTTGCAGTGCTGGGCTTGTTATGCTGTGCCTCTTCATACTTAACCCTGTCTGACTCTCTCTTGTCTGTCTGTCTGTCTTCCCCTCCTCTGTGTGCATCCTCCCATCGCCATGCTGGCCCATTCCACCCCTTTCTTTCCTCTCCCCCCCCCTCTGTTTCTCCTTCACTCTATGCTTGGCTGGATGTGACTGCTAGGAGGAGGCGGAGAATGTCTAGGACACAGGTACACTTCTGTGTGTGTGTGTGTGTGTGTGTGTGTGTGTGCATGTGTGTGCATGTGCACGTGTGTCACATTTGAGGGTCACTGTGTAGGGGAGGCCGTTCACTTGTGACTCCATCCCCCCACCCTGCAGAGCACTGGACAGCAGATCCCCCTGGTGGTAGAAAGCTGCATCCGATTCATCAACCTTCACGGTGAGTCTGCCAGCCTGTGCCTGTGCTCCGTGAGGAAGGAGCCCAGCATTCCTGCACAGGCGTAGCCCCTCAAGGCTGGCTCACGCTGTGCTTCTCAGTCCTGTTCATGGTCCCCCCTCCCCCCACCACAATGTTTTCATTCCAACCCCACCTTAATCAGGCTCATATGATCCTGCTTAATGAATGTGGTAGGCTGAAAGCAATGTGGATTAGAATGAAAAATCATTAGAATGAAATAACGCCAAAAGAAATATTTGATATTAAAAATGTTCAGTTCAACACAAAATGCAAGTTATATGTATATGGCCATAATTGTTTTGACATTTATTTAATTCTTTATTATTATTAAGCTTATTATTCTTTATGATTGCTGTGTCAGTATTGTATGGAATGCCATGTGAATGTGTTTATCTAAAAATTAAATTGTGTGTGCATATCTATGTGTGTATGTGCTGTGATGTCAGGTCTGCACCATGAGGGAATCTTCCGGGTGCCCGGCTCTCAGAGCGAGGTGAACCATATCAGGGACGCCTTTGAGCGAGGTACGTCCACATGCCGCTCCCCCCCCCCCCTGCAGCTCGGAGCCTTAGTTGCTGTCGGTTACTGAAGCCCCTCCTCCTCTGTAGGGGAGGACCCCCTGACGGACGGCGAGTGCGACATCGACTCTGTGGCCGGCGTGCTGAAGCTTTACTTCCGCGGCCTGGAGAAGCCGCTTTTCCCCGAGGAGAGCTTCAGCCAGCTCATGGACTGCGTCCGTAAGACCATTTACCCAGCATCCCCAGCAGAGCGCGCCGACACGGCCCCGCCCCTTTTACGCTTCTCTGGGCTCAGTCTGACGCTTCCCTTTCTCTCCCAGCAATCGAGAACGTCATGGAGAGAGTGGCCCAGATCAGGCCGGTCATCCTCACCTACCCCGGACCGGTGGTCGTGGTCATGAGATACCTGTTCGCCTTCCTCAATCAGTAAGCTCAGCCCCCCCCCCCCCGTCAGGCTGACAGACCAAAAAAAGAAATCGAAAACAGACACCCAGCTGAGTCGCATTTTAAGTGTGTATTTTAACGGAAACTCACCGAGAGGCGACTAAACGGCTGCTTGCGGCTATATGGGGGATGGGTGTGTGATCCACACGTGGCGTTTCAGAGATGCGAGCGCCTGAGCCCTGTGTCCCCCATGCAGCGTGTCGCAGTACAGCGACGAGAACATGATGCAACCCTACAACCTGGCGGTGTGCTTCGGGCCCAGTCTGCTGCGCAGCACCGAGAGCAGCGACGCCGTCACCCTGCAGCCGCAGATCAATGCGCTGGTGAAGACCCTCATCGTGCAGCATGAGAACATCTTTCCCGCGCAGACCGAGCTGCCGGGGCCCATCTACGAGAAGTGCATGGCGCTCGAGCAGGAGTACTGGTAAGCGTGGGCTGTGCCGTCGATGGCTATCTGGCTGTACGTGAATGTGCCAGTGTGTGAACCCACGTGTGACCCAGGGAACTGATAAGTGAATAGATAGTATATGATGTTTGCCATTGGCCACTAATGACTTCCCCAAGGGCATGTACATGGGGTGGGGCTACACTGGTCCCAGCTAATTGACCCCCAGAGTGCCCCCGTCCCTGTCACTCATTGATTCAAAACATATCACTGGCTAATGGTAAGGTTACTCGCTCGCCTTAGGTACTGTGGACTGATTTTCCATGTCGGTTGAGCCCTCTATACTACCCCACAAAAGTCAAAACACTGTAACTGCACATGTATTCAAAATTGAGTTATGACCAACATTGGGTCTCTTAGGTTCTGTTTTATCTTGTGACAAAATATCTTAGCTCTGCTATGTTTGGTTTTAATTAAGTACCTTATCATTCACCTACCCGCTACACATACGAGTGGACAGTCAAAAAAGCCCTTTTGCTCAGTTTCAGTGTGAGCGTAGTTACACTCGCTTTGCCTTTGGGGGCAGTGTTGGCGAGTCTGTTTCCGTGGCGCTTGACACGCCTGAAGAAGCGAGACTGAATAAAACTCTTTGTTTTCTGCAGTGAGCCGATTGTGGAGGAGGGAGACGGGGATCCTGAGCCGCTGCACAGCGAGGACGGTAAGAAAGGGGCGTGGTCCCGTGTCAGCGCTGGCCTGACATCACACAAGAAACGCCCTAGGAGGGGTGCAGTCTGCGGAAAAGAAGGCATTTCCTTCACTTATGCGGTGCCTTCCTGTGCTGTCCTTTGGTGTCATCCATTCTTTGGTGAGGCCTCAATGTCTGCTCGTGTGCTGTCTCTTCCACAGAGTGGGACGCCGTGGCCATATTCGATTATGCCGCCCGCTCAACCTCCGAACTGTCATTCAAGCAGGGGGACCACCTGATACTGCACAGCAAGGCCTCATCTGATTGGTGGAGGGGTGAAGTGGGTGGGGTCAAGGGCCTCATCCCGCACAAATACATCAGCGTGTCTGAGGGGTATGTGTGTGTCCTCATTACTTGAGGTTGATTTAAGTTAATTTGAAAAGGCTGACTATCCAGACTGGATCTTATGGTATTTTGTTTATATTAGATCAGATAAACTTTATTAAACCCAGGGGGGAATTCTTGTGCATACAGTAGTGAAGTACATGTAGAGCATAGAACATACATATAGTGCAGAACAAAGTGCTAAGACAGTATACATAGTGCATATAGACTTTATGGTGCAATTTGGCAGGAATCTATAGGTTCCTATAGCCCTGCTGCATAGTTTGTCAGTAAAGGGTCTGTGTAGGTCAGCACTGGCTGGTTACACACCTCCATTCCCTCCTCTGACCCCTCCAGGGTGGAGCGCAAGCTGGAGCGCGGGCGGAGAGAGGAAGGCAAAGGGGGCAGCACGGGAAACCTGGCGGAGGAGCAGCTGATGGTGGAGCACAGCACCCGGTACTCGGGGAATCGCCTTCACTCTTCTAGATGTACAGTTACTAGATTAGGCCTCACCGGATGAAAGACTGTTCTAGATATAGAGTTACTAGATTAGGCCAAACCCGTTGAATGACTGTTTTCACACTAGGTGGCCGAGGTGGACGGAAATAGTCCTTCTAAGTTTACAGTGGAAGCTGATTGGATGTAGCCATACATTCTGAAATCCCAGCCTGTCTGCCCATGCCTCTAGTCGAAATGTCAAATTGGGGGAGGTTTTTATATTAGGTGTCTTTAGACTGGATAGAGAGTAGAGAAACAAGAAGTTATACAACTTCCTGTTTACACAGAATGGTTCTGGGACAGGGAAAAGGGAACAAGTGCCTTTTCTGAAATTATTCTGTGCCTCTAGCTAAATTGACAGGTAAACTATGAATTATGGTCTTTGCATGGCCATACGTAGCAAATACATTTTAAATAAGATTACCATTCCCCTGCGCTAGCTGTATCTGAGCATGGCGCCTTCTAGTGTCGACAGAGCAGGTGCGCAACCCCATGAAAACGTAACCGTGTAAGACTAACATGCACCCCCCCCACTTCCCTCCCTCCCAGCCTCAGGGTGAACAGCGACAGTGCCTCCCTTCCCAACAGGCAGCGTGGTGCGGGTGGGGGTGGGGGGGTCAGCCCCGTGAGGAAGCTGACCCTGCAGCCGCCTGAGGGCCGCATCATCATGCCCCCGCCGTCCCCTGGCCAGGCACGACCCCCCATGGTGTACGTATGCCCTTCACCGTCGCCTGTGGGCTTCTGAGCTCATATTCTAAGGGGAAAAAAACACAATTATATATTTGAATATTACACTCACAGGCATATTACATTCGCCGCATATATTGAGGTTTATATATAGTAGGTGATTACTTCCTAACAGGAGCAATTACGCAGTGAGAGTGTGTCAAAATGAAAACCGGTGTGCGCTCAGCCCTCAGGGAGTTGACTCCACAGCGCCCCTGGTGGTGTCTTCTTCAAGGACACCAGCAGCATTTTTTTCGTTTTGGGGACACTTGTTTTTCTGTGTGTTGGTGCAGGTACTGTATGAAGCCTTATAACCTTCAGGAAAATGGGAGACTTGTGTCTGGACAATTTTAAGCTCTTTGGGTTTCGTAGTAAGAAACTATTTTTATATGGAATGCAAAACCATTTTAATATACATTAATAAATTGAATTTTTATTTTTTATTACATATTAATATTGTTTAGAATTTTCTGTGGGGGGTGGCACAGTGGTTAGCAGTGCTGCTTCATATCTGTGAGACTGGGGTTCGAGTCTCCCAATTTGCACGTTCTCCTCATGTCACCTGGGTTGTCTGGTTTCTGCCTGCACTCCAAAAACATGCTTAGGTGAATTGCAGTTATCAGTTTGTGAATGTGTATGTGAATGACGGGCCCTGCGATGGGTTGGCACCTCATCCTGGGTTATTCCCTGCCTTTGCCCATAGGCTCCGCCACCCTGCATAGGAAAAGTGAGTATAGAAAAGGAAGGAGAGGAGAGAATCTGCTGTTCTAAGATTTATATATTTATATATATGTATATGTTTATCTATTTGAGGAATTTGATTGGACAGAAGAGGCAAGATAGGAAGCAGGTGGAAGTTTTAGATGATGGGTACATTTAAAAAAACCCATGTGGATCCTGAATAAATGGCTCAAGAATCTGCTTCTATCCATTACTGATAATTGGGAAGACGCTTCATCCAGTTTTTAGGAGAACCCACAACTTACATGGAACATAAACAGAAGGAGGCTAGTTTACAGCTTTTTGGGGAATCCACATACATTTTGTGTAATATGGTTTGGACTGTGAAGAGCAATAAATTAATTAGTGAGACTTGCACTAATTGGGATAGTGAAAAGATGGATGGATGGAATGGGGTGCTGAGTGAGAGATTATGGGATGGAATATAGGAATGAACACACAGGAGTGGGTCACATGGGTCACATGGTCTGGAGGTTTGGCTTCGGCTGGGAAGTCCCCACCCGTTCTTGCAGACTATTAACCTTCACCCTACATTGTTTTCCAGGTCCCAGGAAAGGAGAAACACTGTGGGGCAAGTGGGGGCAGAGAGGCAGACACCGATGGTGGATAAGGTCAGGGCCGCCGTTTCTCTGCTTTCCCATTGGCTGGTGGCCATCCTATGGCTGGTGTCGGGGGCAGGGCTTATGGGACAATACAGAAGGAAGTCATTTCTGAGTCTCTTCCTCCTCTTTATTTCTCGCCTTCCTTCTGCCTCCCTGCCCTCCCACCACCGCAGGAGGTCAGCCGCCAGATGAACTCCGTCTTCAAGGAGCTCCTATCCCGGCAGGTGCCCATCGAGGCCACTATCACACCAACGTCACTGCCTGCCTCCTCGTCCGCCCGGCCCATTACCAAAAAGAGCGGCTTTGGCTTGAGGGGGAGAGGCCTGTTCAAGCCTGCTGACCAGCAGGACTGATGCAGCGGACGGCCAGCAGGAGGCAGGAGTGGATCTTGGGATGAGGGGGACAGCACAGGCACAGGTGGACAACTGCTCTGAAGACACATATTTTTGCAGAATTACGGTCATGATGCATCATTTCCCGTTCATGCTCCTTCCCGTGTTCAGTACGACGCTGTGCAGTCCCTGTCGCGTGTACGCCATCGTCTCTCAGTAGTGCTATGGTGTGTTGTCATGAAAAGCTCACCGTCAAAGAGGTTTCTGCTAAGATCCCTTGAAGGGGCACCTCTTCACGCAGCGCCCTGTCATGTCCTGTAATTATGTATATAACTGGAGAGGGAAGCAGGGAAAAAACAGAAGTTCTAATAATTGTGATGAGGGAGCAGTGGGGTTGACTGTTGGTGCGCATCCGTGTGTCCATCCTAGCGGGCGAGCATTTGAGACGATCACTTGCACGGATGCATCGCTGGTGCAAATCCCAGCTCCATTTCGCACGGCACAGCTCCAGTAGGAGTCCCTGTACATTTAGCGGTTCGATCGGTGTACAGATAGATCTGCTGGTTGGGTAATGCAATCAAATGCTGTGCAAGCCTATTTTAAACCAATTAACAAGGCTATTTGGTTTGAAACAGTAATGTTAGCTCAGGGTGCAGACCAAGGTCTTCTTTCCAACACAAGGGTGACCCCTGACACTGCAGTGATAACCTGATTATATGTGAATTGTTATTTTTTTTGTTCCATTTAATGGTAATTTAATGTTCTTTTTTTGCTAAGCTTTTGTACCATTCCCCCAAAAAAACACAGCTCTAGCAAGTAATGCTGAGCTGTGATTCCTGTTTAAAGGATGTTGCTTTGTTTTTTTCCTGGGATCATAAATGAGCTATAAGTATGATATTTCTGATTCCATGAGTATCATATTATAAATATGAAATTTATTTTGTTACAAAAATAATACTGTGACTCTGAATCCAGTAATCTTTTATTTAACAGAACGGGAGCATCGCTTGATAAAAATAAAATCCAATATTGTTTTTTTTTTTTTTTGCATTTTTTTGCATAAGTAATGGTGAAAACTTTGCAATCCTTAAAGCAATCAATCAAATACAAAGTCCTGAAATGTACAGTGCAGATAACGGGCAGGATTTCTCTTGAAACTGCACAGGACACTTCAATTGATTTAATTGATAAGCTGTCATGGTATCTGTCCTGTATTCTGCTTTAATGTGTAGCCTACAAAAAAAACAGATGAATTTGACCCAAAAGTGAAAGTTAACGACAAAGTAAAATGTGGTCCAGTTTGTCATAAAACAATGGAACTATCCCTTTAAGAATGAACTTTTTTAGTCAGGGGATATCAGTTCGGTGTGGATGTGCATCAATATACATACATGAAATGCGCTGCATGGCAACAGGAAGACTGACATTGATAAACCCTTGATCTTTGCCACCCTTTTCATAACACACAGGTCCTGTTGAAGCATCTCACTGAAACGTAGAGCTGCTGAAGAGTAGAGCTCACCCCTGACCTGCAGCCAATCGTGCTGTGTGAGATGGCGCCCTCTTGTGGGGGGAAAGGGGTGCACGACCTTACTATAGGATCAGGTCAGAGAGGGGGGAGAAGATGAAAATAACCACCAAACTGTGACGAAAGAAAAAAAAAATTATGTAAAAAGCAGAGGAAAGGAGTATAGGGGAACGCGGTTTACTATATCTGAGCCAGAGTAACCATTTTTACAAACTGCCCAGGTATTGGTGGAAATCCCTCCTGTTATGTTCCCATCTCCCCTTCGTGCGTTTTTTGATGATATCACTGAGATTCCTGTTGTTGACTATTATGGTAATAAAGATTATAGATTCTAACTCATTGCCTGGTTGTTACTGGTTGCAATGGCATAGGAGAGAGTTTGATATGGGGGGGGGACATTAAATGTAAAGGTCTGTTCTTTTTGGTGGGGATTGCGACCCACCATATTTGGGGATACACCCCCCCCCCCCCCCCGGTTCCTACGTCCCTGATTGGTTGACTGACCTTCGATCCGTATTTTCTGTTTGATTTAGTTAGCAGTTTTTTTACCCAAATTGACGTACATTTTTGGGAGGGGCCAGCTCCGACAGTTCAGAGTTAAGGGCCTTGCTCAGGGACCCAACAGTGAAAAGACACGCCGTCCCCCACTGCAAGCGAAGCAGCCTTTAGCACAGCATGGTAACACATGGCACAGTTTAAGCTCTGGACTGACCCCCCAGTACGTGCGGCAATCGGCTGTCGACCTCCACAGTGCCAAACATTACAAATTAAATGTGAACATCAGTGCTTCCTTCCTACACTTTTGTCTTCCTGGCTAGGAAAGTCTGGCTTACTTACAGCTAGTCATTGTGACACCAAATTTACCCCACATCTGTTTGTAAGAGTCTATATATGTTATATGTGATGTGGGGATTCATTATCGGGTAACCTGAGCCTTTCTTACCCCACCCCAGTCATTCCAGCCCCCAAAATAACCCTGAATTCTGCTCTGGTGACAGTCAGGCATCACCCACCGACACACGCACACAGGTGGGGGCTCACAGAGGGTCCTGCTGGTGCGGATCTACCCAGGAATGAACCAAACGCTCTCCTGATTCACACTCGCCGTCGCTGATAACGCTCATAAACTGGCATGAAATCAGAGTAAAACGTGAGCAGAGTGGCAGCGTAAACCAGTCGTCGAGGCATTAAGGAAACCGCATGGATTCTCATATTAGCTACTAAGACTTATTCAGATCAGGTGTATTTACATTCCTTGGAGTTTTTGGACAGAAATCCTGCCAGGAAGGTAAGTTCGACTGAATTGCTTGGTGCTAAACATTATCTTTGTTACTACGGTAACCCCAGCAGCCCGGTTGTGCTTTCGGGCTCTTAAAGTGGCCCCTGGGGCCCCCAGCTAGCAGGGCTGCCAATGTGCCTCTACAGTGGAAGTTCATGTATCAAGTATCAAAGTTTTATTTGCCATATATTGCGTTATACTCAGTAAGAGGTGTAGTAAAATACTTGTTTGCCTAAGTCCATGATTGTGGTAATAGGAGATATGAGACTGAAGAGAAGACATTAAGTAATGATCATAAATAACCATTAATAGTGTGCAGTTAGCTTTAAATCAGCAGTTTTTTTGCCTGCCTGCCTGTAGTACTATTTACTCTAATCTGTCGGTTTATAGGGATCACAATGCACAGTCTCTGAGTTCCAAAACTTGTTATTCACTCGCTGCTGCTTCCCATGAGTATCAGATCCCACATTCAGCACTGCGTTCCCAGAGTATTTCCTAGAGCGAGAGGTATGAACGTACGACGGAAGTGTTACAGAATTCCCGCGATGTGTCATGTATCCCCTGTGACACCTAAGGACGCCCCTCGGCCCGTGTGGTGGAGCAATGTCCAACCAGGCTGCCTTGCAAAACCAGGATCATTTGATTTTGTATTTTAATACTGCATATAAGAAAATTGATAATGAGTGTGGTGATAGGAGGGGGGGGGCACAGTCCTTCTAGGGAAGGGGATTCAGCTGATGGTATTAGCCAGCGATAATTCCGAGCTCCTGCCCTCATTCCCAATAATAGCAGTATCCTGGTGTACATATTCGGCTTTTTTTGGCCCTGGCCCTTGCAGACTTGACACCAGGCTGAGGTCTGTAGTAGGAAAGTACTCGTTTTCACTTTATTCCTATTCCCATTCCCAAGTTTGTTTTATTTTTCCTGTCCTGTTGGGAGACTGGCCTTTCTTGCATTTACTGGTTTGATTGGTCATTTTCCTTCTAAATCCCAGTTAATCCTAAAATGATCACCCTCATCCAGTCCCTCGTCACATGGTTTTTCTTCTATCCCATCCTCAAGAATTTCCCCCTGGATCAATAAAGTTTATCTTATCTAAATGTTCACATGGTCTATTAGCATGGCAACCAAGGAGCCGCATTGTAAAGTCTGCTGATTTCTGGTTCCAATAAGCAAGTATTGCAGTAATACGCTTCTTTCTACAAAAACATCTCATTGTACAAAAAAAAAATTCACAGGGAAAAACCCATGACTGTGTGGTATTGGGCCCATCAGAAGTGTAAGACGATATTTCTCTTGTTCTCATATATTTTCTCGTATATTTTAACAATGTGGACAAAAAATCCCACAGATATTAATCTCACTTAATTTTTGCTCTTAGTCTTATGTAAAAGCTTTTTGTGTTTTTGCTGTTCTACCATCCTTCCATGGTTCTGAGGGTCTCACTCTCCTATGCCATCTCTGCCCTCAGAAACATCTCCGCCCTCAGAAACTACTGAGGTTTTGCTCCTGTTTTCCCCCATGTGCTGATCTGAGCTGCTCTCGGCCGTCATTGGTATTTCCCCACTCCTGTCCGCTAACTGTGCCTATGCTAGTAGATCTCTTTGGCTTTTAAATTCATTGTTTGACATATTTCACACCCATGGTGCAGATCTACCGCCCCGACAGCAGCGTAGTTCCTGTATTTTCAACAAGAACAGCTTTACAACCTCACAATCCCCTTCAGCTCCTTCTCATCTCTTCCCCACATCCTTGTTCTTCTGCAGTTCTAACATTGCCTAATCATCCCACTCTGTGGTTCGCATGTCCTTAGGCATGATCATCAGGTCTTCCTCATCCAAAAAACAGTGATACAGCTTGTATCCACAACCCCTGGCCTATTTCTTTAACTATGCTTCGATTGTATTTCATTAGCTTTTTTTTGGCGATGGTTGTGGTGGTCACTCCATGTGTCTGGAGGACCTCTAGATGTTCCCAAACCAGCTGGAAAATATAACGCCTTCCTTGCTTGCATGTTTTTGTCTGTTTTGTGGTGATCGTGTCTCTCTGCTCTGACTTGGCAGGTGCCATGATGTCAGAAGAATACCTGGTGGAGTGTAAGATTGATGACGACCAGGAAAGGCTGCAGCAAACCCCGCCCCCACCTCCACAATTCTCCTCAATCTCGAACCCACCCTACCTTTCTCAGTATGAGACCAGAGACCCCTACAGCATCAATCAGCACCTGAAGGTAACACACAGGGCATGATGGAGCGAATTAGTCATGGGGTACAGAGGAAGAGGGGCCCATTTATGCCACGATTGGGTCAGGTATGCGCAGGTTCTAAATCAGATGTTCAAAATGTGGGCAAGGGGTGGCAATTTTGACCCAAACATCAAGAACTGTGAGTTTTATATGGCCCACCACTGGGCCATATAAAACCTCAACTGCTCTAGGCATGGGCATAAATTATGGGGGGGGGGGTTGTAACACCCCCCAATAATCAAAACCAGCCAATACAACCCCCTGGACCCTCTTAAATGACTGGAGACCTCAAGCCCCCCAATGCTTAAGCCAAAGTTATACCATTGACTCTAGGGATTGCCTGGCCTTGATTTCTGAACTGTATGTAGCTTTGGATAATAATAACTGCTAGATACAGAGGTGGATAGTTCAGCTCCAGAAAGTACAAATCCAGACCAAGACTTTGTTTGAACCAACCAGTTGAGCAATCTGTGACTGTGACTCTTTAAACTCAACTGGTTGGTTAAAACAAATTCTTGGTCTGGATTTTTACATCCTGTACTTGAACTATCCACCTCTGGCTCATTAAATGTAAATGGTCAAAAACCTAGTGTGAACTTTTTATCATTTTTATGATCTTTCCATATTCAACATCGTATTTTTCCGTTATCCACCAGCATGTGTTCCTTCTGAGTCCATGACTCTAAATTTCCTTCTGTATGACCTAGAACCTGGTTCAGGGTTGATTCCAGGCATAGGATTAAGACTAAAAAAACTAACTGATATGTGATTAAGGTTTGTAAGGCCTGTGGGAGGTAAGGACGCCCTGGGGATATGGGTCATGCCGAACCTTGATGTTGACTGTAGGTAGAGTTCAGCGACGTTCTGGCAGAGCCAGCCTCCACTCGCAGTGCTGACCGTGTGTGGATCTACAGCAGCATCAGCTTTGAGACGGCCCGCATCTGGAGCTACCGCTGCCTGTCTGCGCTCTTCGCCGTGCCCGTCTCGCTGCTATCCGGCTGCCTGTTTGCCTGGCTCGCCTGCCTACACATCTGGTACTGTCACCATACCCCTATCATCAAGAGACAGGGCACTGAGTGGGCACTGACGTAGCAAGCCAACAGTGCCATATCCTGAGTGGGCACTGACGTAGCAAGCCAAAAGTGCCATATCCTGAGTGGGCACTGACGTAGCAAGCCAAAAGTGCCATATCCTGANAGTGCCATATCCTGAGTGGGCACTGACGTAGCAAGCCAAAAGTGCCATATCCTGAGTGGGCACTGACGTAGCAAGCCAAAAGTGCCATATCCTGAGTGGGCACTGACGTAGCAAGCCAACAGTGCCATATCCTGAGTGGGCACTGACGTAGCAAGCCAACAGTGCCATATCCTGAGTGGGCACTGACGTAGCAAGCCAATAGTGCCATATCCTGAGTGGGCACTGACGTAGCAAGCCAGTGTCACTTTATCTTGGATGGGGGGCACTGGCAATGAAGTTTATCTAGGAAGCCACATGGGCTTCAACCGGTACTGCAGCAGATACTCTGGATTTAAGAAAAACCAAGAGTTTCAGAGAAATTATGGGTGTTTCTCAATATGCATACTTGACTGTACTTGTGTTCATGTGTTCCCGTTTTATGTCATCTTCCATTGGCGAAGACTAGTTCTAATACTCAAGAACAGAAGTACAGAGGGCGGTAAAAGTCCCCAGATGTTGTTCTTGCCTCGCCCCAAATACCCAGGATAAATTGCTTGCACCCTGAAGAAATGAGACCGATCCCATGATTCACTGAGCCCCAAGTTCGTTCTTGGGAGGCAAGTTAGCAAGACCGATCTAGCTGAGACTACAGGTATGATCTTTGAGTTCTTGGTATTGAGAAACACCCTACAGTATATATGGAGTAGAAACCAGGTGACTCAACATGCAGGCCTCAGGCCTCATGGTCGTAGGTTCGATTCCTGTCTCTGGTTCTATGTATGTGAAATTTTCATTATTATGGATGAGCTTAGACCATACTGCCATAAATAATTATTTGTATGAATGATAATAAGTCATATGACATATCTTAGGACCTTTAGGAGCCTCCCACTGAGATGCTGGCCCCACACTCAGGCCCCTATCCCCCTCTCTCCCTCCCCATCACCCCCCCCAGGTGCGCCATGCCCTGCGTCCAGCTGTGTAACACCTGCCTGCCCTGCCTTCGTTCCCTCTGGCTCAGCGTGGTCAACATCTTCATCACCCCCTTCTGCTCATCTGTGTCTCGCTGCTGCAGCGGCCTCTATGTCTCGCTCTCTAAGGACTGAGGGGGAGAGAAGGGAGGGAGGCCAGCTTCCCTCTGAATCCTTACAGGGAGCTGGAGAGTGATTAATGGAGGTTATCACAAACTTCAGCACAGCAGCCAAAAATTGTGGACTGTAGTGGTAAAAGTAATTTTCTTTAACTACCCATAATCCACCAGGTGAAAAATTCTGAATTACTCAGTTTCCCAACCCAGTCCTCAGGAACCTCCAGACAGTCCATGTTTTGCTCCCTCCCAGCTTTCGGTAGCAAAAATGTGGACTGTCTGGCAGGGAGCAAAAACGGACTGTCTGGCAGGGAGCAAAAACGGACTGTCTGGAGGTTCCTGAGGACCAGGTTGGGAATCACCGATCTAGATCACCATCTGGAGCATCATGTTTCTAGATACTCTCTATGAAAAATTAACTGGAATAATTTTATATTCATGTGTGGATCTTGAAAGACTGTTTAACACAGTTTTGTACATCAAGAACCATGGTGAAAAATCAGGCAGTGAGGTTATTGGTGGCTTGAATGCCAAAGAGTTTGTTTTGTTTTTCTGGCACAAAAAATAATGTACTTTCATTATCCACCCATCCATATATGTTTATGAACGGTTCACAATATATATCTCTAATGGCTGTCTCATATCTAGGCCTTATATTGTAATTGTAATATTTTTACAGCAGCATACAAATAAATGTTCACTAGTTCTGTCAAGAACATTATATGTAAAGTAATACTGACAATTTTTCAAAATGAAATAATAAATGCAACCATGCAACCTTGTGCCCTGTATCTGTGCTGACTTCATTTTGAATGGGGCTCTCTCTCTCTTAGCTGATAGTCATCTTTGCAGCTATAGCACATAAATATATACAAACACTCTCTCTCTCTCTCACACACACACACACACACACAGGTTTGTAATTATATCTTTGTGGGGACTCTCCATTCATTTCTATGGGGAAAACTCTAATCACAACAGAGTAACCTTAACCCCTAGGCAGCCCTAGTCTTACCCATAAGAAACCAAGTAAAATACAAGACTTTTGGCAATTTTATTTTTTTGATTGCAGTCACAGATCTTTCTGGGGACCTGAAATATTGTCACCACAATGTCAAAATAACAGGTTTTCATCGAATTGTGGGACACATTTGGTCCCCACAATGTAATATAAACATAATCCACACACACACACTCACACACATCATCATCATCAAAGAAATATATATTTATGCTGATAGAAGGCAGAGAACCAGAGAACCAGCTAGAGTACCTGACGGAAACCCACGTCCAACTCCATATGAAGTTGTAGGTCTTGTATGTTGTTCTTCAATCTTTATCTTGAGGACAACCTTTTCAACGTCATTATAGGAAGTCAGATTACGATCCACTGAATAAATTAAATAATTTAAATAAATTAAATAATTAAATAATCAAAGAATACTTTTTAATGCATTCAGATCTTTAGCAAAAATGGCCATTTTGTGCTTAAGTTGTCTGAACTTTTTTTCTTATGTTTATAGTCGATTCAACTTTTAAAAAAACATTTTATAAGAAGTCGATTACCATTATTCATTTCTTTGATGTTTATTGTGGAAAAGCGCGATCTTATTTGTGATATACAAAGTCAGATTAATGTTATAGTACTTTTCAGTTCTTTGCTATTTCTTATTTTAAGACAGGTAGCATGTTCCGATAAGTAAATTGTGCTATACAAATATCATACCCATTATCTATTGAACCCTGTAGCACAGATCGATAGACACCACTATAAGTAAGCGCTACGGACAGGACAAAACTCTATTGACTTCGCTTGAACACAGAGGGCCGCTTCGGCTGGACTTCATTTCCCAGCGGCAGCAGCACTTCGGCTGGACGACGAAACACGAAATGAGTGAGGAAGTAGGAAGGGGAATTCCTCCAGTAGCAGGACGAATCGTCAGAACGCGCAGCAACTTCATGCAGTCCAAGTAAGTACCACTGTCAATACTGTCAGCGGATCAAGTCCCGTAGCCACAATCTTCCGGGCCGATCGCTAGTATCTCGTAACTTTACCACCCGGGTTAGAGCAAAGCCTCCCGTTTTGGGCTGGGATAACCGGCGGACCAGGACTCGGCGCCGACCGAACTGGCGGAGCCGGACAACCCGAGCGCAGGCGCCGACCTACGATCATCGCTGGCTTTGGTACGACTCCGAAAAACTTGTTGTGAATTATAATTTAAATCCGTTAATTATGGGCTTTTGGGTTCCGTAAGACACTCCTGTGACCGGGACATTAGTTATTAAGTTACCTGTAAATCGATGGCAACAACTGAGTAACTATGCGGTAGTTAACTCTTAAAGTGTCTTTAAATAAACAGTGCAGAGTGCTTTTATTTCTGACGCTCCTCGGCAGTATAACTGGCAGAAAATAACCCGATTTGGTGTAGTTGTCTGCTGCAAATTGCCAGGATAAGAACATGTGTTTTGAAAAATAAACGATGAAAGAGACTGACCAGCACCGAGTTGTTAACGAAATGACGAAAACGCAGAGAAAGGCGGGTATGACCGATCTGGAGAAGTGTACCGAAATGATCGTCAGATATATGTGACTTTCTTTCTTTGCTAAACGCCAGGTCTGAAGCCCTAAGGAAGGGCGAATAAATAAATTAAATGTAGCTTTCCGGCTGACTTCCTGTCTGGTCGAGGAAAATGAAAGCGAAAGCGACAGCCCAGTCTAGAGGAAAAAATCAATTGGATTGTTAATGGAGGAAAAAAAGTCCATGGGGAGTCCATAACACGCCAGAGGAAAGTACGTATATTAAGTTCACGTAACATAAAAGACGTTTTGTGCGCGTTATTAAGTTAGAAGTACCTATAGCAGTGTTTCAGTAGACTAGATGGCCTTTCATTCTTTATTATCGTTTCAAAGATGTGCGACGACGAAGTTTTTCTAGTCGTGTATCGATTAAACCATCCTGGATATGACCGTATATATTTTAAGTACCGGCTGATATCTAATTTAATTTGATTTTCCCAGGATTATGGTTCAGCCCCAGGCTCAGACGGGCAGTACCTTGCAGTGGGAGATGGCAGGGGGAGATGGCGTGGGCTCCGGCGGGCAGGGGTCGCTCCGGGTGCCGCCCGAGCTGGCGGAGAACGAGGTTGTCAGCAGGCTTTTCACGGACAATCACCAACTCAGAGGTACTGTCTTACTAAACTTAAGTATTAAGACGTCAGCCAAAATACGTGTTCTTTCATTTAATTGCAGATTTTTATGTCCAGTTTCGAATGCTCCCTTCATTGCTCTTTCCATCCCTTGCGTAGAAGCCTTGAGAAGGAGTAATGTGGCTCTCAGGGAGAGATGCGAAGATATGGAGAAATGGCAGCAGCTATCCAGGAAGGAGAAGGAGTTCCTCACCTGCCGGTTCCAGGAGGCCAAGGCGCTGGTGGAAAGGCTGTCCCAGGAAAAGCAGGACTTATGGAGCCAGCTTAACCAGACGGACCCTCGTGCCCAGGCAGGAAGCCCCATTCTGCCGCAGACAAACAATCTCAATTGTCTTGAGGTTAGACTTCCTCGGATTTTCTCTGATAATCATACTGACACCTTCCCTCCCCTATCTGAATGATACACTACTTTGTTGATGTATAATTGTCAATAATAATAACAATAGTAACAATGATATTTTGATAGAAATTGGAGGACAGGGAGGGAAAAGAAGAGGATAGGACCAGTCAGCAGACACCCCCAGAGAGTGTGGTAAGAAAGCATCTTTTCCGTTCATCTTCTGCGAATGTACTGGTTTTAAAAACCTTACACTGGTTTGTGGTGAGGTATCCATCTCTAGAGCGTGTTTTACTGCTACTGCTGTGATCAGGAGTGATTCTAGGATTTTTTTTAAGGTATCGGGCATATGAATGGCCATAATTCATATGGAGGGGTCAACCATATCATTAGGGAATGATATGTTTTGGATCGGTGAGTGACAGGAAAGGAGGTACTCTGGGGACCAGTCACTTTTAGTTTATCACCTGCTCCAGTCAGGTTAAAGTGCAGGCTTTTGTATTAAATATACAGTTTAATATACAGCAATATAAGAGCTGCCCTTTGACTAGGGCTGGGCAATATCATGTCGATATTATATCGCGCATGCGCAATAATCCTTTGGCTTAATATTTGGGGTGTATGTTTTTTTTTTTTTTTGTTTAGTTTCATACAAATGAAATATTTGTATCAAATATCCCAATATTGAAATTGAGTGCGTGTCCCTTTGCGGAGGACCAGTTCCTACATGTCAGAGGGCGGCTCTTAGTTTGCATCTTTAGTTTGCAATTCCGACTCCGCCCCATTTATTTGAACACGCGCCGGCGAATCCCGAGTTGACCTTGAGTTAATAACCACTGCGGTAGCACCATTTAAGCTGATCGCAGTAATCAGGGTTGGTTAACCTGGCTCTGTCGAGTTACTCTCGATAACACTGGCTTTGTGGTACATACCACTGATCTTTTTTTTTTTGCTTTTTTTCAACATTCACACCGACATATAAAAAAAATTCCTTGGTTCATATCAAGTTTTCCTTTCCAAAAGGACCCCCCCCCCCCCCCCGAGAGCCTCCAGTTTGTGTGCTAGTCTTTTAAAAAGGTGTCTTCGTTTTTCTGTGACCAGGCCTACTCCAGTGTCTGTAGCTCCGTCAGCACAGTCTTCCCAAGCCTAGCGGAGAGTCTGACTCCTCCGGAAGGGGAGGCCTGGGGAGAGGGAGAGGGTGGGGCAGGGAGCAAGGTGAGACTGCAGCGCTCCCTCTCCCTCTCATCCCTCCATCTCTCCTTTTAATCAGTCGATATTTTCATTTAGTGTGATTTTTTTTTTCTTTTTTGTTCCAGTCACGACCATTTTGTGTTTGGTTGTTCATGAGTCATTCCGTATTAAATCACCCAGTTTGAGAAAAATTTCCCAGGTCACCTTCCAGGATTCCACAGTCTTGAATTACTACAGAAAAAGTTAGCCCTAGGTACAGTTTCAAAGTGTGCATGCCATATCCAAAGAGCTATGGATGTCAAATTTTGGACCGAAAGGCTTGTTTGGCAAAATGCAAAAAAAATTCTTGAAAATTCAAAAGACTAATTTCAACACTGTTAGGTATATAGACGGAATATTTCAGATTTCTCCTTAACTTTAGTATAGGATCAGCCGTGAATTTTTTCAGGGGAATCTGAGAGGGTGACCAGGGGCTCCCAGTATGGAATAACCCTCATGCATGTTGGAAAGTTCCATTTGGTCTTCTTTTCTTTCCTCCCTCGTAAAGTCGAAATGCACTAACCCCCCACCCTTTAGCTACCTGTGTTAATTTGTTGGAAGCTCCCATGGAGCCTTGTGCCCCCCTCCCTGTCCATCACCTCGCTGCTTCCACTCTAATCTCTCATCACTGTGTCCTCCAGCCCGCAGATGGCTCCAATCAGTTTCTGAAGCTGCTGAAGAGCCACAAAGAGAAGCTGGAGGAGAACCTGCGGGAGCTGCGGGACCAGAAGAAGGAGCTGGAGGTGCAGAAGGAGAAGGTTGAGTTGGAACGGGACCGGCTGCTGAGCACCAATGAGCAGCTGCAGCAGAAACTGATGCAAATGCAGGTATCTCAGCCTTAGGTCTGAATCATCTGCTGTGCCTGCTGATGTTAATCAAGTTAGCAGATCGTCATTGTTATTGTCATTAGTATTACTAATGTTGATGCTGTGCAGTAATGAATCCTTACACAGACCTTCAGTGTTTGGATGGAGTTTGCATGTTCGCCCGATGTCGTGCAGGTTTCCTTCTATGCTAAAAAGACATGATCCCCCCGCGCCCAACAGCGACCTGGATAAGCAATTGGATAGAGGATTAGCACTAGGGCCATAGAGTTGCGTTGAATGTAACATTTGCGCTTTGCTCTTCCTGTGTATTCTGTTCATGTGGCTTCACCCGAAGGGTCACCCAAGTATGTTGACATGTTGTCTGCTTCTTCACTGGGTTCTTCAGGGGGGCAGCGTCACTGAGGAGACCGTACAGCAGTCACCCGCATGCGCTGAGGACTCTGACACGTACGTCGTCTTTCTACACTCTTCCTTATTCTCCTTGCCAGTGTGTAGCTAAGAATCTGTGCTCGAGTCTGGAAAGTCATAGGTTCGATTCCCTTCGGCCAGTCGTGTAATTGTGCAACCCTTAAAGCTAGCCTTCCTTGTTTGTTGTTTTGGATCCAAGAGTTTGCTAAAAAAAAATAAATGTTTAACCTTCATTTATCTGTAGGTCATTGTGATTTATGCTGTGTAGGTTAGCCCTCCCTGTTTCTGACTATTCCGTTTTCACCCCCCCCCCCGCCCCCCGGTCAACTCACACACACACCCTCCAGGTCTCAGGTGGCCAAGCTCATGGAGGAGTTACAGATTACACAGTCCCGGTAAGAAGCCCCCCCCAAAATGTTGATATTCTTTTAGAAGGCTGGTGTTTGCTGGCTTGTTGATTTGTGTGTGACGCTTTGCCTGTGATCAGAATGTTGTTGGTTTAAATCCCAGGGTCAGCAGAATGATTTCACTTTTGAGTGCTTGAGCAATGTCAACCGTATAGGTCTAAATTAATGCTATGATCAAGCACCTTGAGTGAACCCCCAGCTTCACCAAAGATTGTCTCACCCTGGATATTGCTTTGGATAAAAGCTCTGCTAAATTAAAAATGTAATGTAATTGACTTAACAGATGATTGATACACTTGGGTAGTGCTGCGTTCCTGTAACAGCAAGTGTGTTCATGGGTAAAAACAGGAGTGTGGAATGCGTTTTACCCGATCTTCGCGTGACGTAGCCCAACCCTTGTCTTTGTAGCAGGGGGAGTCTGAGGTTGAGCTGGACCGTGTAAAGTTGTCTTCTCCTTCCGCGTCTAGATGCAGTGAGCTTCAAGAGAAGTACGACTCTCTCCAAAAGACCACAGCCCAGCTGGACAAAACGGAAGCTCGGCTGAAGCAGAGGGACAAGGAATTTGAGCAGGTTCATCTCTCACGTGCTGCACATATGTATACACACACACACATATACATACATGCATACATACACACACGCATATACACACATACATACATACATGCACACACACACATACATATACACACATACACACACATACACCACTGAATATGAGCCTGCACCCCATGCCAGGGTGATATGTGACTTAGTGGGTTGGGACGCTGTGCCTGTAATCGGAAGGTTGCTGGTTCAAATCCTAGGGTCGGCAGAATGATTTCACCGTTGCGCTCTAGTATATATGTAACCTGTACATATGCAAAATGCGATAAAAAACATCTGCTAAATAGAATGTAAATTGGCTCCATGTGTCAGAAGGAGATTGTGAGGCGTGCCGTATCCGTTTTGGCACAGATAACCAAAGACAGCGAGGCTCTGAAGGCCCAGGTGACCTCGCTGCTGGGGGAGCTTCATGAGCGACAGAGCTGCCTGGACAAGAGCGAAGTGGAGGGCCGGCTGCTGCAGGAGAGGTACTGGCCCTCTTCCCAGGAAGGGCCCGAGTATAGAGAGCGGATCTGCCTTTGCGTAGAGTAGTGCTTCCTACACCGGTCCTCTGTGACCCCCAGATAGTCCACGTCTTTACTCTCTCCCAGCACCTGGTATGAAGGGTGCAGAAATATGGGCTGTCTGGCAGGGAGCAAAAAAGTGGAGTGTCTGGCAGTCCCTGAGGAATGGGTTAGGAAACACTGACTGAAAGCAGGGAGATTCAAGGTCCTGTATTTAACTCTTGTACATCAGTATATAGGAATTCTAATTCGCAATATAGAAACACTAACTTGTAGCATCCAACCTCCCCCCAGAAGGTTTTCATTCCAACCCTACCTTAATCAGGCTCATATGGTCCTTAATAGGCTCCTAATGAATGTAGCGGGTTAAAAACAGTGTGGGTTGGAATGAAAACATTCTGGCGCCCCCTAAGGACAGGATTGAGAACCACTGGTGTAGCGCATTTTCACAACACTACATTGCCCCTGGCCAAAGTCACCAGAAAGTAAGCCAGAGGCAACACTGCCATAGAATCAGTCCCTAGAAGGAAGGAACCATTGGAGGAATCAGACTCAAAGAGGGGGCCCATCCTCCCTGGGCTAGCAGAGGAAGTCAAAAATAACAAAGTTCTGATTATATAGCAGATTTATGAATAGTCCAGGTGGAAGGTCCAGTGGAGTTATGGATGCTGATGTCCAAGCAGGCAGTACAGATTAAACAGTACAAAATGAGTCAAAGGGGCATGTAGACATGTGACTAGGTACTGCAGAGGTGCAAGATTATGGGGAAAAATATCAAATGGTTGCAACGGAAGATATGGCTAAATAAATGATAAATATCCGAAATATAAATGAAAGAACTGGGAATATGGCAGAGAAAAGTGCGACATGCAAAGTAATGGGGGCCGGGGCTCGATTTTATAAGCCGCGTGTGAAAGCGAGGCGCGTAAACTCGGCAGGTAACCGTCCGCCCTCCCTGCGTGTCCCCCAGGCTCACTGCCAAAACGGAGGCCCTGCAGATCAAGGAGAGGGACATGGAGACCATGAAGAAGCAGCACAGTGTCACCGTGGACCAGCTGCGTCTGCAGAATGAGAACAAGGAGACGGCGCTCAAGACAGAGAGGATGTTAGTGACGGAGGAGAAGTACGTCCCCACCTCTCTGCGGCACAAACACTGGCGCCTGGCTTGTTAATGGCTGCTAATTACAGATTACGCTTGATAACGATGTATTACTTAGGCTGAGACTGTGATTGTGGATGCTAATAGCCTGTTAGCCTGCCTGTGGAGTAAATTGCAATGGTAAAATCCTCCTGTTAGTTCCTGCCAGAAAGCTTAGACATATTGTGATTAAACGCTTTTACATTCATCTTACTTAGAATTTATTTGGAGTTTTTCATAGCGATTTGAGGACTAAATATGCAAAAACCTTTGTTCTACACTTCTGTTTTCCTATTACAGGTGTGATTTGTCTGTTTTGGTTGTTTGTTATATTTTGTGACATTAAGGTTGTTTAAGTTGTAATCTGCCTGCTGTAACATTCATTTAATTTTGGAGCTGTGTGTGCATCAAGCACTCAGCAGAATAGTTGGCAATGTATGGTAGATGAGACACACTTTCATACAGGTAATGGACGTGTTCATAAGACAGAGTGTAGCTCAGTGGACTAGGGAACTGTTCCTGTGTGGAAGGTGGTGGGTTGAAATCCTATGGTGGGCTAAGTAGCTATCGCCATGTGTCTTGCAGCCATTGACCCCGGTTGCTCCTGGGACACAGGCTAACCCACTTGTGTACTGCTTAGGACAAAAGTGTCTGCTAAATAATCGTAATGCTGCATGCAGCCAGCAGTGGGCGCTCACCTGTGGTGTGTGTGTGGCTTTTTTCTTCTGTTCTCAGGAGGAAGTTGGCCCAGCTACAGCAAGCCTATACACAGCTGTTCACAGACTATGACACTAAACTTCGGAACGTGAGTACAGCCAGGCTGTATTATAATAATTATGTAAATATAAATAAATGTAAAATAAATAATTCTATAAATCGAATCCAAAATGCACATTAAAAAGACTGGTGTTCTGGAGTGTTCTCCCTTTGGCTGTAACAGATGGCTGCGTTTCGATTTTGAATACAATTATGTTTGGTCCATCTATTGTAAAATGTGTGATATGTTTTGTGTGTTTACTGCTTGTTGTGAGGGGATGTGGTTCAGGAGGCAGGCCTCCATCGCATATTCATCCTGAGGGGTTAGTGTGGTGTGCAGTTTCTGCGATCACATGACGCCCTGTGGCCCCCTTCTCCCCCATGCTGTTAGGGGGGCGAGGTGGAGGACAAGTTACGGGAAGCGGAGATGGCTCTGGTCATGAAGCAGGACCTCATCGACAAGCTGAAGGAGGAGCTGGAGCAGCAGAGGATGTCTCTGGAGACTGTGCCGGTCCTCGCCGCCCAGGTGACTCCCTCGCACGACCATTGAAGCTCTATTTCCTGGTCACATGTTATTCCTTCTGTTAAAGGAGCCATTTTTAAGAGTTTAACCTACTGAATGTCCCTTAGGACACCGATTCTCAACCCATGGGTCGCGACCCAAATTTGGGTTGTGGCAAGATCTGAAAGGGTCGTGAGGCAGAGTTGGAAATGTAAGCATTTTAAAACCAGCAAACTCCTATGCTGATCCACGATCAGATTTCCCAGCTCCAATCCTAGAATTAACCTATATAAACGGGTCTTCAGTCTGCAACTGCTTAGTGCAAAACTACTGAACATTCAACCAATCTAAGAAGCCAAACCGCAGATGCTTAATGTAAAAATTCGCTAGCACCTCCTATCAAATTTGTGCGATAGGCATTGATTGGCGTAAATTGCAGAGTGCACTGCGTGCTTGATCATAGCATTAATTTAGACCTATACGGTTGACATAGGGTCACGGCTGAGCTGCCATGGTAATAATTGGGTCGCACTGCAGAAAAGGTTGAGAACGAACCACTGCCACTGACTTATGCCACTCTAAATCAGATTCAGTAATTTATTGTCACAAGAGGCCCTTTCCCACCGCAGGAACTTATGAGGAACTGGGGAACTTCTGTCATTTTCCCATGGCAGGAACTTGGCCTCAATGTAGTTCCTGGGAGGTAGTTCCTTAACTTTTGTTTTTCTTTGTCCCTACTTCAGGTAGGTGCTTTTTAATTTGATCAGGAACTACTGGGTGGGGTTTATAGTGGTAAACATTGTTGATTGGCTGGCCACAAGCAATGATGCTAACTTGGAAATTGCACAGAAGTGCCCGGAGAAGAGAGAGTAGTGGAGCGAAAATGGAGCATATGGAAGAGGGTGTAAAATAGGGTGATCTGCATTGTTTTGGGGTGGTGGTGTTTCATATGAAATTACGTGTGAAGTTTAACCAGCTTTTTGTATCTCCCATGATACAGTGACACACAAACTATGAAAGTTCCCAGTTGAACCAGGAACTAGGTTCCTGAACTTTGGTGGGAAAGCACCTAAGTAGATATTTTTTAAGCTCTACTCATGGGCTTTGGATCCCCAGAATGCCTCGCTGTACGTTCAATGAGAAGAATGTGTCTCGTGAGGAGAATGTGGCTGTGACTTCTGATTCTGCCCTTGCATATTGAAGAATAGCTTTGCCCACTGTAACCCATTAGCATTGCTGTGTCGCTCTCGGCTGCCTGCAGGCAGAAATTTTCAAGGCGGACTTCCTGGCAGAGCGAGAGGCCAGGGAGACGCTGAACCAGCGTAAGGAAGAGCTGCAGGAGCAGTTGAACAAGGCTGTGGCGGAAATCGATCTACTCAAAGTCGGGGTCACCTCTCGGTAATGAGTGTTGTCGCCGGTTGGGGCCGCTGGCTTGCTGCTCTTCTGCACGCCGCTAACGCTGCTTCCCTGTGTCCTGTCAGAGCACGCATGGAGGAGATGCAGCAGAGGCATATGGGAGAGTACCGAGCTCTCCCCACTTCAGGAGGTACTGATGCTGTTTTGGGAGTCCGGTGTCTGTCTCTGGGTGTCTGTCTCTGGGTGTCTGTCTCTGGGTGTCTGTCTCTGGGTGTGTGGTCCAGGTAGACATTACATTCTGGGGACCAAATGTCCTTACAATATAACCTATTTGATGTTTTTGGTCCCTACAAGGAGAAATTTGATTTTATAAAAATCTGTGACTGCAATCAAAAAGCTAAAAATGCCAAATGTCCATTAGGGTTTTGCCCATAGAAATTAATTGACGGCCCCCACAAAGATAGGAGTACAAGTCTGTCTGTCTGACCCTCGTGGTTTTGCAGTTTGTCAGTGCTTATGCTAGGTACTGCCATGTTGGATCTCTTCCTCCTGCTGATAAGCTTTCCCATTGGCCATGGGCATCAGACTGGTAAACTGTGTGGCGTGTAGCTGAGCAGGTTAGGAATCTATGCCGAAGGTTATAAGTTCGAATCCCATATTTATATAATGTGTTATTTGCCTCACTTGTATGTTGCTTTGGACAGAAGCCTCTGCTAAACAAACGTAAATGTACTCATCAGAATAACCATACTACTGTTGAGACTGGACCCTGACTCCAGTTGGTTCAGGGGGAATCAGCTGACACAGATCTCTCATCTGCACTCATGTCACTTTGGACAAAAACATAGGTCAGATTTTTGTGTTTTGTTTGTACAGGAATGGTTTCAGAGGAGTTGCCTGATTATCGTTGCCCGAAATGCCAGTATCAGGCCCCGGATATCGACACCCTGCAGATCCACGTCATGGACTGCATTCAATGATCCTTCCCAGGGGGTGGGAGGGTGTATGCCGAGCGTGGGGGGGGCCATGCTGAAGTGGGACTTTGTGTTTGGAGTTTCAGGGTCAGTGGAGAGTGAGTGATGGTGTACTTCACATCTCAGCAAAGAGGCACCTCTAATTTTATTTCATTTTATTTTATCCTTTTAACAGACCAGAGAAACACTGAATAAATTCTACCTGTAACTAGAAATATCGTCTATTATTGCTTGATACTTATAATTATTTCCATTGTTCATAACTAACACATCAATGTTGCTAATGTTTTCATGCATCATCATTCACAGGCTAATTTCACACTTTACACAGCACAAGTCTTGCTATGAATGCCCATGTTGATTCTTGTCACCATTATGTCTTTCGTTTCAACTGATATCTTTAAGAATGTACACTATCGGTGCACCTGTATTTGTCACGAGAAACAATGTCAGAATGAAGTCCGATGTGCCGTATTATTTCCACTGTTAAGTTACTTTGTAGAAATTGTCTTTAATAAAATTATTGTTAATAAATTTTCCATGTGTCATATATCATACAAATTGAAAATCAGCAAGAGCACAAAAACATTCTGTTGGGATAAACTGTCCATCAAGATATGGAGGAAGTATGTAGTTCAGTGAGTTGTGATCTGTCCCCATATCCAGGGGGTTGTAGGTTTGAATCTCATGGCCAGTATATAAATCATACCACCCTTGAGCAAGGCCCAGGGACCCTGCTCTCTAATCCCACACTTCCTCACTAATATGTTCCTTTGGACAAAACATCTGCTAAATTAAATAAATATACCATAAATGGGCTTAGACAACTGAAGTGAGACTAAAGATGGAATAGAAAGATGTAAAGATAAGGCTGTTTGTGTGCTATTTACTATCATTGCAAGGTGCTTCTGAGCTGTTGTGCTTTCCTGTATCTGTAACTGACTCTCTAGCAACTGGGTACACTAACTGGTTCTGACCTGGATTAAACTGCATTAAATTCCCTTTCTCTGGGATCTCCCTTTCGTACTATCCTAGTCAACCGCTGTGTCTGTGTTGAATAAAAGAGTTATGAGTTGCTTGATGATTCAGTATAATGGTCTCTTACGTCTCTTATTCAGTATATAATTGGCATCTTTGCGGCACTTTGGTTTTCTATATATAGATTATATTTACTAAATATACAGTATATGGTGTCATAATCATTACATTTTCATTTCATCCTCAGGTATAACAATGCTGGTATGTTTGTGTGACATGGTTTTGCAGTATTAATCATGTGTTAGTAATTAACGTAAAATATTTGGGTGTAGTCAAGATCATGCTTAATTCAAGGCATAGTAAAGTCGACAGTAGCACTTTACTGCAGCTTGGATAGAAATACACTCACCTAAAGGATTATTAGGAACACCATACTAATACGGTGTTTGACCCCCTTTCGCCTTCAGAACTGCCTTAATTCTACGTGGCATTGATTCAACAAGGTGCTGAAAGCATTCTTTAGAAATGTTGGCCCATATTGATAGGATAGCATCTTGCAGTTGATGGAGATTTGTGGGATGCACATCCAGGGCACGAAGCTCCCATTCCACCACATCCCAAAGATGCTCTATTGGGTTGAGATCTGGTGACTGTGGGGGCCATTGTAGTACAGTGAACTCATTGTCATGTTCAAGAAACCAATTTGAAATGATTCGAGCTTTGTGACATGGTGCATTATCCTGCTGGAAGTAGCCATCAGAGGATGGGTACATGGTGGTCATAAAGGGATGGACATGGTCAGAAACAATGCTCAGGTAGGCCGTGGCATTTAAACGATGCCCAATTGGCACTAAGGGGACTAAAGTGTGCCAAGAAAACATCCCCCACACCATTACACCACCACCACCAGCCTGCACAGTGGTAACAAGGCATGATGGATCCATGTTCTCATTCTGTTTACGCCAAATTCTGACTCTACCATTTGAATGTCTCAACAGAAATCGAGACTCATCAGACCAGGCAACATTTTTCCAGTCTTCAACTGTCCAATTTTGCTGAGCTCGTGCAAATTGTAGCCTCTTTTTCCTATTTGTAGTGGAGATAAGTGGTACCCGGTGGGGTCTTCTGCTGTTGTAGCCCATCCGCCTCAAGGTTGTGCGTGTTGTGGCTTCACAAATGCTTTGCTGCATACCTCGGTTGTAACGAGTGGTTATTCCAGTCAAAGTTGCTCTTCTATCAGCTTGAATCAGTCGGCCCATTCTCCTCTGACCTCTAGCATCAACAAGGCATTTTCGCCCACAGGACTGCCGCATACTGGATGTTTTTCCCTTTGCACACCATTCTTTGTAAACCATAGAAATGGTTGTGCGTGAAAATCCCAGTAACTGAGCAGATTGTGAAATACTCAGACTGGCCCATCTGGCACCAACAACCATGCCACGCTCAAAATTGCTTAAATCACCTTTCTTTCCCATTCTGACATTCAGTTTGGAGTTCAGGAGATTGTCTTGACCAGGACCACACCCCTAAATGCATTGAAGCAACTGCCATGTGATTGGTTGATTAGATAATTGCATTAATGAGAAATTGAACAGGTGTTCCTAATAATCCTTTAGGTGAGTGTATACTTTCACATAGCTCGTTTGTTATACATTGCGCCGTGGGAAAACTCGCCAGGACAGGGCAGTCCCAGTTTGCGGAGTAGGCCAATTTCTGTATTTTATCAGTATTTAAAACGGCATTGATTAATGGTATACATTGTAAGAAATTGTATCAAATACAAAGGAATAATGTGATGAAAATTGTACCAGTTTCCTTCAAAATATACAACGACGGAGAGTAAGATTATTGAAAACTTTTGCATGTTATTTGAGTTCTTCATTTGAATATTTTTGGTTTTGTCTGTAAATTGAAACGCACTCATGTATGTTATGCTGTTATATTAGTGAACAGATTCTTAAGAGCTGATTACAAGTGTATGGTTTTTATATTTGTTTTATGAGGAAAATAAACATTGGAACTGCTATACTGACTTTAGCGAATGATACCTCTGCTTTGTAAGACATGGTTTGGACTTGCTAATGCGCATGTAGGAGAGACAACTCACAAACACACAGGGTAGGAAAGACTATGAGCGTTTAAAATAAAATACTCATGTTTAAAACTTTCCACCTGAGATTTATTAAACAAGATTAAATTATAATGAATTTTACATTTCCCGGTCGTACATTTCCCGATCCACTTCTAAAATAGAGCGCGAATATTAAATACTTAATTCATGCTTCCCTATTTTTACAATGGTAGCTGCGCTCATGCAGATTTTCCGCCTCTCTGGTTACTAGTTCAAATACAGTCGGCTAGCTCGAGGTCTGGCGATTCATTCAATTTGGCGGTTCGTCTGTCCGTCGCTGTTTATTTTAAAAGTTATTGTATTGCTTTCCTGAATGTTTAATGGTAGCCACAAAATTGGGTAAATAAATATGTCGGATCCAGCGCCTTTGGCCCAGCCGGCCGATGTGAGCGGTACGGCTGGTCTCGGAACACCCTACCCCGTCGGCTATCAAGCCTTTCAGCCCGAGGATCACGGCCTAGACCGCGGCTTCAGGCTCACGGCCTTCTCCGAAATGAAAGGATGAGGCTGCAAGGTCCCCCAGGAGGCACTGCTCAAACTCCTGGAGGGACTGGAACACGACCGACCGGGACCGGCAGCGGCGACGGCGGCGGGGGATGACGGGGGTGCAGGCACCGGTGTTGGGGACGAGGCCGCGGAATACGGGCAGCTCGCCCAGGTTGTGCAGGGCCCGCGACTGGGTAAGGAGGTTCTACGGTTTACTTAGCATGATGTGCATTCTGTTTAGCATCATGTGCGTTAAGCAAGGGGCCCTTTTTACATCGGGAGGGCTTGCACGTACCCGTGTACACCTGCTATTCTTGATGATCCTGTGTAACTTCATAGTCAAAAAATCAGCAGCGATCAAAGTGTCCCATCTTGGAGTTTTCTTTCACTTTTTACCTGAAACGTTGCATAATCGTCGTCGATGGTTAACGGACTGCATCGCTTATTTGCATTTACAAGTAAAAGACTTGGAGGTTTCATGTTGTACGTTATCACGCTCTTTCTGAATGGAAATGTTAGTGTAGTACAGTTGTAGGGCATTTTTCGGCTGGTTTCCCCCGCCTTGTGTGTCGATGGGGCAGAAGTATGTCTAACTATGCTCTGTTAACCTTTGGGTCCGAGAATACAAATCCGATGCATGGGGTTGCGTAAATAAATCAACGGGCTGTAAAAGGACTTTGGTCCGTATGCAATACCACCGTCTCTGGCCTCCCTTGCACGTTTAGTGTAGTACTCAAGTAAATGTCTAGCTGTCCTTAAACTATATTTTTTTCGGATTTTATTGAGGTCGCTCTCTGATCCCCTCTGCTCTTATGCTGCAGGTATAGGGATGGACTGCTGTGTGATTCCCCTTAGGCACGGGGGTCTCTCTCTGGTTCAAACCACTGATTTCTTCTACCCGCTGGTGGAAGATCCATATATGATGGTAAATTTCTTCCCTTTTGGGCTTCTCTCTCAATGTTGGACATGAAGTCGTATGGTGGATAAACAATAATTTATTTATTAAGTCATATGGTGGATAAACGATAATTTGGTCACTGGCCCTTGCCCCCCAGTAAGTCAATTGCTATATGATAAAGCACACCTGTAAGTAAAACATTCTATTGTGATGTGCATGTATGTGTTTGGTATTAATTAGTTAATAGGCTTGTCCCCATTCTCCTGTCTGATTGTACTGCCATCAGCTTATTGTCATGGAAATGCATCTCACTTGCAGGGCCGCATCGCCTGCGCCAATGTCCTCAGCGACCTGTATGCAATGGGCATCACCGAATGCGACAACATGTTGATGCTGTTGAGCGTCAGTCAGAAGATGAATGACAAAGTAACTGTTCCCGTACTCCTCCTGCCTTTAGTCGTGTTGTGCTGTAATGCCACTGTGGCACAGATCAGTGCTTTGTCAGGCATGATTTGTCGTCCCCCCCGTTACAAACGGGAATCCTGGCTGTGTTGACTTGTAAAGAACAAAACAAGCCACCAGGTTTTTTGTGTTAGAACAATTTCAGTTCTAGTCTCATGCTAACCCCAGAGCAGCATGCCTAGCTAGATGCCTAACTAGCTTGTTCCCGGGGCTTTACCTTGCCTGAAAATTGACAGGTCTTTAAAACGTATGGAGGTGCCGATGTGGGGCATTGCAGCCTCACATCCAGTGCTCAGGGTTTGACTTCTGCCCTTTGCTCTGTGTGTGTTTGTGGACCTTGCATGTTCTCCCTTATCCTGTGGATTTCCTTCAGGACAGTTCGCTATACCTCATGCATTTTGCCATCGTCATCTCACTCAATCACAAGCTTTGTGATCATTGTGCATCTTAAATTAGCATAATCTTGGCCCTGGGTGGTTGAATTTTTCTACTGGATTAAGAACTTTTCTCAGCACAATAGCAGTTGACACCACCCTGGGGGTTGAAACAGAAAGATACATCTGGTAACAAGTCTGCATGCT